CCCCAAAACCCCAAAACCCCAAAACCCCGGCGTGTGTTATTTGACTTTGAAAATGTAATAATTTGAAATAGTTAAATTAATCATATATATTAGACTATGAATATATTTTGGAACATTCATAGCCAGTGATATAGAGTGTCAATCCATCATACCAATATCATATGTAAACTTTGTCCATAAAGACTACTGCCCGCAAACCCCTAGTTTGAAGGATTTGGTGGTACTCACTGCATCATAAGTTTATCGTAATTGTTGACGAAGTATGAGAAACGCATAAATGATGAACCTCTGTTCTATGAGAGATAACTGCTCACTCTGCTTGGGTTTCCACTTGTACCAGCATCTAGCAGGACACAGAATTGATAGTAGTTTACGTGGTCGGTATCACCTCCTATCTTCCTCAAATATTCCTACATTTAGTGATTAAACAATTATGTTGCTATACCTCCATATCTATTGTCAACTCAAACTCAGTCTTTATAATCTCAATAAGTGTGTTCTTTGATATATATCCTTCTTTAGTTGGTTGCCCACCTAGTGCTACGAATGCGTCCACTATAGACAAAACATTAGCATTTAAACCCATGAATTGAGTAATTATGCTTACAGTACTCATCTGACTCGTTCTCTTGCTCATTCATGAGTTCTAACTCTTTGAGCTAAGTCAATACAAGGAGCATGCAGTTTAAGTCTATTCTTGAAGCCTTCTTCTCATCTAGAAATTCATTCAATTATTCGATTCTCTTATCATCCAAGTTATACCCGCATGCTAAATTCAAAATATTATGAGAGGGAAAGAGTGGAGTACCAGTGAGGAGCATGGGGAGCTCGAATCTCTCAACATATCCCTGGCGTTACTTGTCATAGAACTGAAAGTTTTGCTTGCAGAGTTCCATCTCCAACTTAGTCAGTTCAGTTCTATTGTTGTCCATATCAGAGCCCTACTCGTTCATCTCTTCCTAGATCACCTGGCCTCCCTTGCCACCAAGATTGCTATTAAATATTCGTAAGATCACTCAGTCAAACTTGCTGCAATAAGAAATGCTTACTTTTATCTTAATTTGCTCCCTTTCATTTACTTATATATATTTTATTTAATTATTTATTATTACTGTTGATAAAATTTAACTGAAGGGGTTTTGGGGTTTTGGGGTTTTGGGG